AGCCCAGGAGTTGGAGGTTGCTGTGAGCTGTAATGCCACGGCACTCTACCCAGGGGGACAGCTTGAGGCTCTGTCTCAAAAAAAAAAAAAAAAAAGGAAGAAGGATATTAACCTTAGTATGTGATAGTAGGGGAACAATTAAATAAGGTCAATGGAATATTAAACAACCATTAAAAATATGTGTGAAGGGCAGTGCATGTGGCTCAAAGGAGTAGGGCACTGGCCCTAAATGCTGGAGGTGGCAGGTTCAAACCCAGCCTTGGCCAAAAACTGCAAAAAAAAAAAAAAAAAAAAAAATGCATGAAGACACTTAAATGACATGAGGAAATACTTAGAAGGCAATGTTAAATAACTAAACCAGGTACATATATACCTAGTAACATCTTATCTATGTAAAAATATGTATATGTATACTTAAAACAGAGACAGTTACCTCTGGGTGGTGAGAGTACAGGTTATATTTATTTTTCTTCTTTAGAATTTTCAGTGTTTTACTAGAGATTTTCCACCAAAACAAGCATTTTATAAGTAGGGTAAAGAGTATTTTAGAGGAATTTGTTCTGGAGAGCACATTAGAGCACTTTGCTTTGAAAGAACATCTCTGGTGCCCTGAATGAGAAACACCAAGTCTGAGTAGGATTAAGAGGAAAGGAATCCAAGTTAGGATTTTTTTTGGGGGGGGCAGCAGAAAAATATTCTGCTAATAGAGAAAATGTATCCTTTTATTTTTAGTTTTTAAAGGACAAGCATTAGAGAAGGGCTTGTTGTTTTTCTTGTTAATGGCAATTTCATGTTTGTTGAATGCAAGAATAATTTTTAAGAGGGCTGATAATAGGTCCTTTTTTAAATTTCATTTTTCTAGTACTTCATTTTTTTCAGTTTTATTAAGATACAATTAGCATTTACTAAAATGTACCCGTAAGAGCCATATTTTCACTTATCTTCATCTATGCCCTTGTCACACCATAGAGTGAAAATGTATTGTTCATACTATGTATAGTTTTATACTGTGTATGTATATGCTAAAGTTGAACCATAAAATAGTTGATGATCTCTTTACATATATTTTCTATGTGTTCTTTCCAGGAATGACTAAAAAGATTTATGTGGAATCTATACTTGAGGGCATAAAACAGTCTAAACAAGAAAACTTAGACATTGACGTTAGGTAAGAAGATGGTATCTTAACCATTTAAAAACTAGAATGTGAATTTTTACTCTTTTGATCATGGGTGTTAACAGAGTTTTAAAAACTAACCATTAACTGATTTCTGTCTACTATAAAAAATATTAATAGAATCAAGAACTCTGTTTAAAATGAGAATACAATTCTGAATTTATTCATATGGCAATAAAATTCTGAGTATTTTTGTTTGAGTAAAAATACAAAAAAAATTTTTTTTATAGCATCCCTTTGCTATTAAGTTAAAATGGACTTCTTACTGCGGCCCACAAGGTGCTGTATGATCTGGCTGCCTCTCTTACTTCAACAGCTCATCCAGGCCACTCCTCCTCACTAATTATGCACTGGTCTGCTCTCTGTTCTAAAATAGGCAAGATTGTCCCACCTCAGCAACTTAGTACAGTACCTCCTGTTACTTTTCCCCAGAACACACTTCTGATCTTTGCATGGCTGCCTTCTTATTATTCAGGTCTCCACTGGGGAAGACGACTTGACCCGTCCATCTATCTTAAGTGCCCTCCTAGGGGTCCAGGGTCTGTAAGCTCCCACCTAATGGGTACAGTGGAGGTGTGTATGGCACATCTCTTGGGTGAAGGACTCAACTACAACTCAGACCTTACCTAACCAATGTAAACAATGTAACCTAATCATATGTACCCTTATATTAATCTGGAAAAAATTAATAAATGAGAGAATAAAGTGTCCTCTCAATCCTTTGATCACCCATGTATTTCCTCTGTGGCATTCATTTATAATAAGATAAAGAATTAACTTGTGTTATTTTGTATATATACCCTCCCACTATAGTGTAAGTTCAGTGAGTCTAGAGACCATGTCTTTTGGCCTTCTTTTTTTTTTTTTTTTTTTTGAGACAGAGTCATATTCTGTTGCCCAGGCTAGAGTGCCTTGGCATCAGCCTAGTAACCTCAAACTCCTGGGTTCAAGTGATCCTCCTGCCCCAGCCTCCCAAGTACCTGGGACTACAGGCGCTGTCCACAATGGCCTGCCTATCTTTTTTCTTAGTTTTAATAGAGATAAGGTCTCACTCTTACTCAGACTGGTCTTGAACTCCTAAGCTTAAGGGATCCTCCTGCCTTGGCCTCTCAGAGTGCTAGGATTATAGGAATGAGCCACCACACCTGGCCCAGAGACCTCTTTTGATTCACTATTACATCTTTAGTACTTAGAACAAAGCTGGCATATAATAGGAAATCAGTAAGTCCTTAAAGAAAGAGAGCTAGCTATATAGCTTCAGGCTATAACAATCCAAATTTAAAATCTAAATCTAAATCTAAAAATTAAAAGGAAATAATGCCATTTCAATAGGTTTTTAAAAAGTAGTAACCAGGATTGGCGCCTGTAGCACAGTGGTTACCAGCGCCAGCCACATACACCAAAGCTGGCAGGTTGGAAATGGGCTGGGCCAGCTGACGCAATAATGACAACTGTAACAAAAAATAGCCTGGCGCTGTGGTGGGTGCCTGTAGTCCCAACTACTTGGGAGACTGAAGCAAGAGAATCGCTTAAGCCCAAGAGTTTGAGGTTACTGTGAGCTGTGATGCCACAGCTCTCTACCAAGAGTGACATAGTGAGATTCTGTCCCAAAAAAAAAGTAATAACCAGTGTTTGTAAGTTACCCACTATTAGTAAACAGATATAATTAATAAAACCTCTCTAAATAACAATATGTATCAAGATTTATAAAAAACATTTTTCCTCTGAACCAGTACTTTTGTTCTAGAAATAAATATATCCTAGGAAATAGATTGATTTCTGTATAAGACTTTATTGTAGTGTTATTGTAACAAAAAACATTGTAAAATGTCTAGCAATCAGGACAATTAATTATGGTATGTTTATATGATGTATACTGTTTTCTGACATTTAATGGCACAGGAAAATACTAAGAGAAGATAAGATGCTGCATTTTATAAATTATTGATCTACATTTTGTAAATAAATAAAACAAATGCTGAAGAAATTTATTTTTTGAATATATAGGTAAACTAATAAATGCTAGATAAAAATGACAGTATTAATAGGTTCTCTGGGTATTCAAGTCCTGTGGAATTACAGCTAATCCTACCATATGAAGATGAATTTATATCAGATATTTGATACATTTTAGAATTAGAACATAACTGATTTTATAACCTCTAATGGAAGTGTTCTTCAACCTTTTTATCTCACGGCACATTTAAACCTATAGTTAAACTTCTGCCGAACACTTAAATTATGTTGATTTAAAAAAAGAATATATATACTGTGCTTGGAACTTATTTTGAAAATAATTAATGATCTTTAAGAATTTTTGCAGAATACCTGATGTGGCACACCAATTGAAAATCACTGAAATAGGCTCAGCACTCATAGCACAGTGATAACGGCGCCAGCCACATACACCAAAGTTGGCAGGTTCTAACCCAGCCTGGGCCAGCTAGACAACAATGACAACTGTAACAAAAATCTCTAGGCGTTGTGGCGGGTGCCTGTAGTCCCAGCTACTTGGGAGGCTGAGGCAAGAGAATCGCTTAAGCCTAAGAATTGGAGGTTGCTGTGAGCTGTG